GAAAAAGGTGAAAGGGGCAGAGCAGCCTGGCAGGGAGGGAGGCAGTGCCTACCCCTGTCTTCTGCTCTCCAGTGTCCCTCTGGGGCTCCCCACTGGTCACTATAGGGTAAGGGAATCATATTGATGTCATCCGTAGGTCAGTCTCCCAGGGTGCAGAACAGAGTGGAGAAGAGGAAAGAATGGGTTTGCAGGGGGCCAACAGTATCTCCATCGTTCTGGGCCAAAGTCCAGCAAGAAAGATTGAACATAAACATCTCACAGCATCTTTCTCCTTCTCCTTTCCCTCTTCCCACCATCCCCCAGGGATAGAACAGGAGACACATGCGTCCTTGGTAAATCCTAATACACTGTGTATTAGGGGAACTCCCTCGCCCGGATGTCCTGGGTTTGGCTTCTGATATATGAAGAGGGAAATAAAAGTATAAAGAACATCCCCTTCTTAGAAAATTGCCTATTTTGCAAAACTTTTGTCTTTCTGGCAAATCTAGTTTCAAATGCCAACAGTTTAAATACGAGTCTTTTTTGTGTGTTTCTCTTGCTCTTCTGCCTCACTTTAGAGTGAGGCAGAAGGTGGATGCCTTGATTAGGATTTCCTTGCTAAGAAAATACTATATTCTTGGAGAGGCAAAAGAGAATATAAAGATTTTACTTTTATTATTTATTTGACAGAGACACAGAGAGGGAACACAAGCAGGGGGAGTAGGAGAGGGAGAAGCAGGCTTCCCACCAAGCAGGCATTCCGATGCGGGGCTCTATCCTAGGACCCTGGGATCATGACCTGAGCCGAAGGCAGATGCTTAACAACTGAGCAGCCCAGGTGCCCCGGCAAAAAAAATATAGCACATTAATATTTTTTAAAGATTTATTTATTTCTTTTAGAGAGAGAATAGGCGGTGGGGGGGCGTAGGGAGAGGGAGAGAGAGTCCCAAGCTGACTCCATGCTGAGCACGGAACTCAACACTGGGCTCGATCTCCGGACCCAAGATCACGACCTGAGTGGAAACCAAGAGTAGGCCACTTAACTGACTGTACCACCCATGGGCCCCAACATGTTAATATTTTTTAAAATGAGTACTCCAGATTTCACCAGTATGCTGGTCTGGTCTCACTTCATGAGTTCTTTGTTCTTTTCCTGGGAAAGAAGTTATCTCCTGGACATGAGGCCCTGCGTTTCCCTAAGTTCACTAGAAGTTTCCCATCTCAATCTGTTATCAACTAAAATGGATTTTGCATTACTGCTTTCTCTAGAATATAGGAAGATACTAAAGATATCTGTTGTCTTGAAAGGTCTAAGTAGCTAGAACTGCCATCTGTTCCCAGTACATGTGCTCTCACACTGCCAAGAGAGGGGAAGATGGAGAATTTGCACACTAGCTAAGTTTAAGTAGTACTTGTTCGATTCCTGGGCCCGGCTGAGTTAGGGAGCCAGAGTATTTTAGAGGTACCTACCATGGCTCTTCTTGCTCCCTAACTAGTAGGGCTGGGGGTAGCTGAACTTCTGCGCCCATCTCTTAAATTGTGTTTGGAATTGAAGCATTTTTTTTCCCCTTAAGATTTATTTATTTATTTGTTTGTTTATTTATTTATTTATTTGAGAGAGAACATGTGAGTGGGGGGAGGGGGCAGAAGGAGAGAACCTCAAACAGACTCCCATGCTGAGTGTGGAGCCAGAAGTCAGGCTCGATCTAACCACCCGGAGATCACAACCTGAGCTGAGACAAGAGTCGGTCACTTAACCAACTATGCCACCCAGGTGCCTCCTCCTCCCTCCCTTGCTATTTCTCAATGTACACAGTTGTTCTAGGACTTTGACTGAAAATAAAACAGCTGCATGTAAGCATAAATATTGACTAGCAGAAATAAATGACAGTGTTTCCTCCCTTTCAGTAACCTACTTAACATTATTGTGCTGAGCCTACAGATAGTCTCAGGTTGCAGGTGTCTGCATAGAGCTGACAGTCTTTCTGAGGGATCATTAGTACTGTTCAAAATGTTCATGTCCTTTGATTCTGGAATCCAGTGTATAGGAAGTCATCAAGATTTTACCTAATGATTTTACTAGATGTTCACTGTAGCTTCCCAGTAAACAGGGTAAGTTGTCAATCATACATGAGGCAATATACCGTGTAACCATCAAAAATATGTGAATATGGCTGTGTTTTTAGACAGAAGGATATTCATGATATTCTGTGGAATAAATCAAGTTCACAACAGTAAGTGCATACAAATATAACAAGAAAATGTATACATAGGCATAGAAGAAATGCTCAGAAGGAAGGGACCAAACTGAGAGTTATTTCTGGGTAGTGTGATCAACAGTCATTTTAATCAATAAGGGATACTTTTATTTTTCTGTCTTCTACAATGAACAGGTATTACACGTGAAAAAGAAAATTATTTAGCTTTGAAACTGGCCTCTGGAGTAGGTAAGTGGGACAAGAATCTGATGAACTTGGATCGGCAAGAGGCCACTTTCACTGATGCGTGTCGGTGTATTATCAGTGACACAACTGTTGACTCAGACAAAAGGATGTGGGTACAAGGGACTCAGGAGTGGGGCCAGCTTGAGAAGAGCTTTGCAGATTGGTTCATATTTTTATTCTCTTTACCTAGAATGTCCTGATACTGAAGGATAATTATTTACCTTTCTTTTTGACTTTAGATAAAATCAGTTTTTATTTTCTTTCTCAAATAATAGTATCTAGACAGAAGAATATGGACAAAATAAGCTTAAAGTATAGAAAACACTCATACACAGAAATCCAGTGTCCCAGAAATGGAGCATTCCCGTTAGCCCTGTAGAGATCCTTTGTAAGTTCCCTGTTCACATCTACACCCACTCTGCCTCAGAGAAAACTCTGGACCTGAATTATTTTTATCACTGTCTTGCTTTTCTTTATAATTTTATTTCTAAACAATGTTTTATTTAGTTTTGCATATTTTGGGTCTTCGTAAGGGTGAAGTTATACTTTATTATTCTTCTGCAACTTGTGCTTTTCACTCAGTATCTGGTTCCGGAGTTTCCTCCATGTGGTGTGTGACCGCAGCTCACTCGCTTTACTGTTGTCAATCGTGCGGGCATAAATGCATTGTGGCACACTTGTGCATTCTCCTGTTGATGGACTTTGGCATGATCCACAGTTTTTGAACCATGAAATTTCTTATTGATGGCCTTGGGCGCTCACATATGAGTGTCTCAGGTATATCCGTGGGTGTGGAAATGAACTTACTTGATCATGTTAGATTATTTTCCAAGTTATTTGTCTCTCTTTATATTCTTGCCGGGAGAGTATGAGAGTTTCTGTCCTCCATGTAGTCATCAACATTTGATAATGTCAGACTTTGAACTTTTTACTAATCCGATGGTTGTGAAGTGATTTAATTTGTATTTCCCTGAACATCAGTGACATTCAGCATGTTTTCTTGGGTAACCATTTGTGATTTCTTCCTATAACAAATCTGTTTTGTGTCTTTTGGGCTGTGTTTCTGGTGGGTTATTTCCCTTTTTCTTTTTTTTTGCCTGGTTTGTAAGAATTCTGTTTATTCTGGGACCTCATCTTTTGCTAGTTATACGTATGGGAGATATCTTTTAATTTTCCATTTAGTGTGTGTGATGAAGAGACATTTGTCCTTTTATTCACCTTTTTTCATGATTTGCCTTTTTTGCATCTTGTTTAAGAAGTCCCTTCCTACCTAGAGGTTCATAAACCCTACTGTCTTCTAAAATGCTTATAATTTAATCTCTGAGAATTGTGTGAAGGTGTCCAATTTTATTTTTTCTACACGGATAACAAGTTGTTCTGGGACAGCTTACTAAAAGGTCTTCCTTTCCCTATAGATGTATATAAACTCTAGCTCCATCATAGCTTGTGTCCTAAAGGAAGCTTCCATTTATGTGGTGGCCTGTTGTTAGGGCCTTCAGAGAATGTATGCATTTGAGTTATCTAGATGCCAGGGGAACATCTGCAGGGAATGTCTATTTTTTTTTTATTTTATTTTTTTACAAAAAGGCATTTTTCTCACATAACAAGTTATAAGTGGTACTGTTCAGGGTCATTGTGTGGCCCAGTGATGTCCTCAAGAAGCCGGGTGCTTCCCTGTGTCCCTCCGCCAGCATCAGCTTGTGATGTCTCCTCACAGCTGCTGCTACTCCAAGTTTCGTATCCACACGATTTCCATGTGCCAAGTGGAAAAAAGTTACAGTGCTGTCTTCTCTCCAGCTTCTTTTGGACCACCCATGTAGTGTGCATTCGGCTCACACGCAGTCCCGCCAGAGCGAGGAGCCTCAGAGAGGCGTGTTTTGTTGCCCATTCAGTGCTGAGGGTCAAGGCTGCTTGCCTCCCAGATCCTTGTGGGCAGCGATGGTGTTGGTTTCCAGTTCACCTTCCTCTCAGGGTGCAGCCCTGTGGGGATGCAGATCCCCTCTCCTTGGGTGGCCCTAGGCTTTGTCCTCTGCCCTCTGCACCCCAGGGGATGTGAACACCGAAGCCGGATTTCATCTGGGAGGCAAATGGTGGAACTAATGAAAACTTCTTCTGTTTACACCTCTGGCTTCCCACTTTGACTTAGTTCTTTGGCTTCTTACTGTTCTTTACCTTCTTGGCAGCTCATCACACATTTAGAGAGATTTTTTTTTTTTCTGTAAGTTTTAGTTGTTTTTTTAAATTTCATTTATATATTTTTTAAAGATCCCATTCATTTATTTGAGAGAGAGAGAGTGCTCACGAGCAAGGGTAAGGGTGAAGGGCAGAGGCAGAGGGAGAAGCAGGCATCCCACTGAGCAAGAAGTCCAACGTGGGACTTGATCCCAGGTCCCCAAGATCATGACCCAAGCCGAAGGCAGATGCCTAATTGACTGATGCCCCAGGAATTTTTAATTGTTTTTTTTTTTTTTAGCAGGAGGGTCTGTCAGGATATCTAATTCTCCAGACTGTGGAAACAGAAGTTGGCCAAATTCATTTTTTTTTAATTGCATTATGTTTTATCCATCTTGCCTAAAGGTTTGTTGGAGACTGAACCATTGCAAGGACGAGATGAAGACACGGTAGCAAGTGCTGACTTCTCTAGCATACTGTCTGAGGAGGAAAGAGAAGAGTTAAAGGCAGAATTAGTTCAGGTATGTTTAGCCATCTTATTGTCCTGTCTGTCTCAGGATCTTAGGAGTTATTGTTAGTTTTGTATAAGTCCCATGTTTTAGTTATGTTGTCTTTCATGTATTTATTTTTTTATTGAGAGAGCACCAGCACGGGTGGAGGACGGGGCATTGGGGGGAGCAGAGAATCTTAAGCAGGTTCACACCCAACACGGAGTTTGACATGGGGCTAGATCTCATGACCCTGAGATCATGACTTGAGATGAAATCAAGAGTCGATGCCTAACCGATTGGGCCACTCAGGCGCCCCTATTGTCTTTCATTTAATAAAATTTAATAAATGATATTGTAACGTAATTCATTTTTTCTAGGGTGTTTTTTGTAATGCTAGTGGTCCATTATCCACTGGTTACAGAAGAAAAAGGCATAGTTATATTGCTTAAGCAACAGTAACAAGTAGCTGTAAATATGTGCCTCTTACTCTTTGTAATTTCCCAATATTATGGGAACAGTAATCACTTACAGACCTGATGAATTCCTCCAAGACCTTGGTGTAGGTACAGGTGCAGGCTCTTTTGTAAGAGCAATTCCTGCTTTAGGTCAGCAGCTTAGCTCAAGCAATACTTGGAAGTGATTTCTTTCTGTAATGAGAGGTCACTGAAGCAACCGCATTTTGTTAAGTCGTGTACTCGTTTGCCGAGGAGTAAAGTTCTGGGGGCAGAGAGGAAAGCTGTGGTGACTTCCGGTGGCCTTAAATCTTGTGTCGTTGCTGCGGGCCTCCGGCCTTGGAAGCAGGGATGACGCCTGGCCGGTGGGGAATACGACTTCTGTTAAAGCCAACCCTTTCAGACTTTGCTACCAAGCAGTTACATTGTAGGAGGAAAGCGCTAGAGAAAGGGAGCTTTTCAAGTAGAAGAAGCAGTTAGGGCCAGAGGAATGAGACCCATATTCCTCCCCATTCTACGTCCCTGGATCCCAGGGCAGGAAGCTCCTGGTCCAGCCAGAAGCAGGGCTCTGGGCTTAGTCGCAGGCAGAGGACACGGCTTTTAGCAGCACCTCGCCCTCACCCTGCTCTGTCCGCTCCAGGCCTCAAGCCCGAATGCTGCGGCATTTGTTTCAGACAGCTTATAATAATATTGAAGACTTTTTAGGTGCTTTCACAAAACACACCCAAAAATAACTTCATTATAAAATGACAGAGCAGCTTGTTCTTCTGGCACAACAGAAATGATTTCAGGCACAGCCTCAAATCAAATAGCCTGGCTCTTGAGCGGGGTCTGTCTGCGGCCACTGATCTACAACCACCCAGCCGACTTCCAGTTGGCCACACACGCCAGCAGGCCCGGACCGAAGTCAGCCGTGGAAGAAAATGTGCTAGCTCCGTGTTTCCTTACAGCCCGGAACTCTGGTTCATGACCAGCTTGTTCATGTCAGTTGTGGTGTCCAAAAGTTATATTCTGCAGACTGGTGTCAGCTAACTGATTCTGAGCTGAAATTTAATTCTTGCACTGTTATGGTCCAAGTTTAAATTCAGCAAAACTTCTGTAGCCAACCAACCTTTAGAGAATGCCTTGAGTTTTGGGGGTTCTGGGACTGCTGGGGTATACACACACACGGAGATCATTGTGTTTTTTGAGTGCATTCTTTATTTTCTAAACGTTCAACAGTGAGCGTGTGTTATTTTTCTAATCAAGAAAAAGTGAGCCTTGGTTCTAAGTGGATGCCCCTGTAATACAAAAACCAGTGGTGTTTCCAGAAATTTCTGTCTCACTTGCCACATTACTAAGCTTCCAGCATATCTCATTACTAAGACTTTTGAGCCTGCCAGACCCCGTTACCCTGTTCAAGTGACCAGGATTCGTATTCTCATCCTCTGGAGTGCTTCCTGTCTCTTATTTCTGGAGTCTCCAGGAATGAAGAAGTACCACACATTGCCAGAGAGGCATCGTGACTCCCAGAGGCACATGGGTGCTGCTGCGTGCCCCAGGCCCCGTGAAAAGCAAAGGAAATGGATCTTTGCTGGTTTTTTCTTTTCACATTTCCATTTCTTCATCCACCTCAGGCCACCTCTGCTAAATGCTCATCCTTTTCTTAAATCTGCTTTGCCTGCCCTTCCGTGAATGCCTGCGCCTGTGTGTGCGCACCTGCCGACACTTGCTCACACACACGTGCATGCACACTCACGCTCACACGCCCACCCCAAACCAGGTTCTTTCCGATCACATAGGCATTCAGATGAGCTCAGATGCTGGGGACAACAAGGACACACAGAGAGCAATCTCAGCAGTCCCCCAAGTGGCCCTTCCAAGACCAGGGACAGCTTTTAGAGCTTCCTCAGCTCTCCACAGACGTTCTTCCTGGGCCCCTGTCACAAGCCACCCCTCTCTGTGCCTGAGGGAAGGTCCTACCAGATCCGTTCGCCGCTTGGATAACAGGATGCCTTGCAGGCCAGCCTAATAGGTTGCCTTTGAGTCAGGCGGTCATTGGGGGCCATGACCCAAAGGAAGAGCTTTGTGGATGAGGACTTCTCATCTCTGACTCCCTTGCTTACAAGGGGTCTTGGAATGTGCCAGGGATCCAGGTTCCTCTTCAGTGTGCGCCTCTCCCTGGGGGGGCTTAGGTTCTCCCACAGTTTTGTGACTCTGCCGGATGCCCCCCACCAGCTGCTGTGTCCCGCACTGTTTTGTTGTTCCTATGGCCCTGAAGATGCCCTTACACTTGGGACAAACTCCTAACTCCACTCATCCACACAGCCAACATGTTGTTTGCCGCCAAGTGCAGGCAATGGAAGATCTGCCCTTATGTCAGGAGACCTAAGATAAGCCAATAGTGTCCACAAGGCTACATCTCAGATGAAGTTTGCACTTGAGAAGAGGAACCTGATATGAACAGTTTAGTCTTTGGTTTATTACTGTGATCGTGCAGTATATGTGTTTTTAAGTTTCTTCATTGTGAGGCCAACACAACACTGGCGCAGTGGTATTTCTATAGAAAGTATACAATTAAGATTTGTCATGATCTTGAATTATTTTATAGCTTAAAGAGATATTTACTTTTTTTAAGTTTTTTTTTTTTTTTTTGAACCTCTGCACCTAACATGGGGCTCAAACCCATGACCCCAAGAGTCTTCTGTTCTGCCGTGTTCTGCCATCTGAGCCAGCCAGGTGCCCCAAAATATTTGCATTTTTTTTTTTAAAGATTGTATTTATTTGACAGAGAGAGACACAGGGAGAGAGGGAACACAAGCAGGGGAATGGGAAAAGGGGAAGCAGGCTTCCCGCTGAGCAGGGAGCCCGATGTGGGGCTCGATCCCAGGATCCTGGGATCATGACTAGAGCCAAAAGGCAGGCGCTTTATTAATATTTGCATTTTTAAATACCAGTGGTTGAATATGTTTTCTTACAAACCTTACCAGTATACAAAGACATATTATTTTATTTCAGCTATTTGTTCTCTTTAGGTCCTGACATCTTTTTTGAGATCTTCACATACATGTTCTTTGGGGTTTTTCTTTTCTTTCTCTCTTTTTTTTTTTTTTTTTTGATTTTATTTGTTTGAGAGAGAGAGAAAGAGAGGGAGAAAACACAAGCAGGGGGAGGGGCAGAGGGAGAAGCAAACTCCCTGCTGAGCAGAGGGCCCCATGCGGGGCTCGATTTCAGGACCCTGAGATCATGACTTGAGCTGAAGGCAGAGGCTTAACCCACTGAGCTGCCCAGGAGTCCCTCTCTGTCCCCGTCTTTGAATAAACTTGCTCACTATTTCTGTGCTGCTTCCATCCTATTCCACTCTTACGTCCCTAAGCTGCATGTTACGCTTTGTATTCCATAATGTGCCTGGGCTTTTGAAAAGGATGAAATGTTGTCATTAGTACTATAAATTTATGATTATATAACTATCAAATACTGCCAGTGTCCTTTAGATAAAATGACTCAAGAAAAATAGGCATTAATAGGAATAGGAAAAACAACAGGCAGCATGATCCAGTAGGCAAAGCCAATTTTCAGGCTCCCTTCATCTCCCTTTGGGCTCTTCTTCCTTCCTTTTGTGTGTGGTTCCCCAGGAAGAACACAGTACTCTCAAGCCACGTGTCTTGTAGACTTACAAAGAAGTGCCTTAGGCTCTGGGTCTTTCTTAGTTACTTCCTTCAAGGCCTTCTTTATTCTTTCTGGACTCAGTAGTGAACAACTGAAGTGTTCATAATCAGTAGTATCTTATTGTAATACCCTTCTGTATTAGGGTCCTTCAGAGACACAGAACCAGTAATATATATATGTATGTATCTATAAAAAGAAATTTTACAAGGAATTGGCTGATGTGATTATAGAGGCTGACAATCACAGGAGCTACAGTCAGTAAGCTGGAGACCCGGGGTAGCTGATGGTATAGCTCTCGTCTGAAGGCCAGCAGGCTTGGGGCCTAAGAACAGCAGATCTTACAGTTTAAGTCTGAATGAAGAAGAAAAACAATGTCCCAACTCAGAAGCAGCCAGGCAAGAAGAGTCCTTATTAGCTGAAGGAAGGTCAGCCCTTTTGTTCTATTTAGGCCTTCAACTGATTTGATGAGGCCCACCCACTTTGGGAAGGCAATCTGCTCTACTCAGTCTACCAATTCAGTTGTTCATCCTACACAAATAAATAAATAAATAAATAAAAACCTCCTGGGTACATGCAGCATGATATTTGACCAAATGGCTAGGCATCTGATGGCCCAGTCAAGTTGACACATAAAAACAACCATTGCACTCTCTCAAGTAGTATCTGGATTTTGATCTTACTTCCTAGGAGTCTTAGCCAAAGACATGATTAGCCAGGAAAGGAGTCTGGTCTTGAAGTAGTGTATGCAAGAGACCAAATTCTCTTACTCCTAAGCATCATAATGATGCTTTAATAGTTTATGAAAGATTTCTTCACCTGGTTATAAGTTAGATATTTTATGTAATCTGGCAGATAAAATAGGAAAGTAAATTTTCTATCTTCTAACACAAATTCCATTTTGAAGGTAATTAATTAGCTACTCCAGGTTAATTTATGTTTTTTTATATTTTTTATTGAGATATAAAATTAGCTATTTTAACATGAACAGTTCAGTAGCATTTAGTATCCTTACAATGTTGTGTAACTACCACCTCTAGTTCCAAACTATTTTTAGTACCCCGAAAAGAAACCCCATATTCATTATGCAGTTGCTTTCCCTTTCCCCTTCTGCATTCTGCCTCTATGGATTTACTATCCTGTATATTTCATAGAAGAGATGACCTTTTGTGTCTGGCTTCTTTCACTGGGCCGGATGTTTTTGAGGTTCACCCACGTTGTAGCATATCTCAATACTCCATTCTTTTTTATGGCTGAATAATACTCCATTTTTGTGACTAGTGCAGTTGTGTATCTGTTCATCCGTTGATGGCCATGTCAGCTGTTTTCCCATCTGGCTATTGTGAATGGTGCTATTATGAACATGTGTTATACATGTATTTGTTCATATTCTTTGGGGAATATACCTGGGAGTGGAATTGTTGGTCATATGGTAATTTTATGTTTAACTTTTTAAGAAACTACCAGACTCTTTTCCACAGGGGCCATTTTCCATTCCTACCATTCCTACCCAGCCATGTACAAGGCTTCCAATTTTGCTACATCCTCACCGATATGTGCCTGTTAATTCATATTTAAATAATCAAGTTTCAGTATCTAATCTTAATCATAAATATGGGTCGTCCAAGAGATCTAGGGAGTCAGAAAACCAAAGAACCAGACTATTCGTTTATAATAAAGAAATGATTAATTTAAAGTTAAAGCAGAAAGGATATATTAAACACTTCCGTTAATGACTTACCTGCACTCCACCTCATTCCAGAAAGAATTTGCTGTGGCTCAGAGAGGTACTTACGGTATCAGGTTTCCATACCACCAGCCTCAGAGTATCTGGGAGCACGGGTTAAATAATGTATGTAGCCTGGCCCTACCAAGTTGAAGATATCAGAGTCTTAGGGCATTAAAATCTGCATCTTAAATATGCCCAATGAGTAACTCTTATGCGAACTGAAATTGAAAACCACTGGTGTAACCAGACCCAAAAAATCTCATTAGTCAAATGAGGGGTGGACTCTCGTCATGAGCATCATTTAAAATATTTGTGATTAAAGGCTTTGCCGTGGGGCAGAACTCTCTGTTCTGTGGAAAGAGATGTGGTTCTCATTTTCATTCTTGCAAGCTAATATAATTGAAGATTACGTGTTTTTTTTCAATTTCTGAATTTGCTCATAGATTTTTTTGGCATATATTTAGATCACCGATAAATATACCGAAAACTTCAAGAAATGTGAGTCTCAATGTTTCATTGAAATGATGAGAATTTCATTACAGAACCTGAGAACAGACCAAACTGAGTAACCAAGTTCATGTTTCTGTCATTAAAAGTCTGTTCCTTACAAATACTTTTTTTTTTTTTTTTTTAAATTTGACAGACAGAGATCACAAGCAGGCAGAGAGGCAGGTAGAGAGAGGAGGAAGCAGGCTCCCCGCCGAGCAGAGAGCCCCATGCGGGGCTCGATCCCAGATCCCAGGACGCTGGGATCATGACCTGAGCGGAAGGCAGAGACTTTAACCCACCGAGCCACCCAGGTGCCCCCTTACAAATACTTTTTAATGTGTGCTTCCATGTCTAGAATATTAGGTGTGGGACTTCATTGTTCTTTCTTTAGGTTGGTGTTTGGTAAATTGATCACTTCAGTGTTTCTCTTCACTTCTGGGGGATTAAGCATTTCATTAGAAAACTATGAATCCCTTGCCTCCCTCAAATAACTAATGAATCTCCTATTGCCCCCCAATATTGAATACATTTCTAGGGTCCCATAGATAGGAGGTTGAGAATATCAAGATGTTTGAGCCTCCTTCCTCTTCTCTACATCTGTAAGTTCTTATTGCCAGTTAAAAATCGTCCCTTTATTTTTATTACAGAGTGAAAACCACAGTCTTACCCAATGCATAAAAAACCCCAAGATTCCCAATAATTTCAGTCACTCAGAACATATTATTGATGCAAAAGAAAGCAGAAACCTTCTTTTTTACAGAATAAAAGGCTGCTGCAGAAAGACAGCTAGAGATACAACCTTAAGAAATAGTAGACCACAGATTAAATGCAAGAGACACATTGGCAAAGATGAAAAAGTGGAATGTGACGGGATAGCGAAAGAGTAGAGGGTTTAATTTTAAAATAACTGTATGTTCTCATTTAATGGGGAGACCAAAAGCATGACCCCCTTTGGTGGTCCCGGAGTGGACTCCTTTTGCAGCAGTGAGTATACGTCTGCATACTGAAGACCTGCTCCTCAAGACTGTGCTACTGACTAGAACATGTTTGTGGAGTGGGTAACCATGTTAGAGAGATTCCTGTGAGCATTGGAACACTGCCCCTTAAACATAAAAAATGACCAATGCAAGATTACTAGGACATTTGCTGATATTAAAAACTCCAAGAGATTGGGTTTTTTTTTTCCCCACCATAGTATTTAAGATGCTTCCAACTTAGAATTTTGCCTATTTTACAGAAGTGATTATTTATGTCCGTGAAGCTTCACACTATTCCATCTGTCCACCATTGGGGTAAAATCTTCCTTGCACAAGTAAAAAGTCTAATCTGTGCCAAGGTGCCTTTCTCGAGAGGCCTTTTTAGCAGCTGTATCTCCGGTAACCCGAGGAGCACATTTGCCTGATGACTGATGGTGTTAGTGTAAATGTGGTTTGTGGTCAGAAGTAGAGCTAGATATTCTGACTGTAAATGAGACACGGCGGCCACATTTGTAAAAATAAGAAATCTGATGAAAATGTCAGGCTTTTTATGACCCCTGTGCATGTGGGATGCTAAGGGAGTACTGATCGTTCTCTTCTGGCTTCACAAAGGAAGTCAGGATCATTTTGTAAATTTAAGCAATATTACCAGGGCAATACATTATAAAACATGACAACAGAATAAAATACGACCATCAGAATCAAAGACTTCGTGGAGTTTCAAATTGATTTTCACAGGTTATAGCACCACTCTCGAAAATATGAGCATTTTACAGAGCTGCTTTGTTAGAAATTACCTTTGCAGGGGCAGTTTGTGTGTGTGTGACTTGCTTATTTTATAACTGTAAGTTTGTACATTTTGACCTTCTTCACCCATTTCATCCACCCCACCTCCCGCACCCCTCCCACTGGCAATCACCAGTCTCTTCTCTGTGTCTATGAGCTTGTTTTTATTTGCTTTGTTTTTTAGATTCCGCATATAAATGAGATATTATGGTATTTGTTTTTCTCTGTCTGATAACATTTCACTTAGCATGATACCCTCAAGTTCCATCCATGTCCCAAATGGCAACATTTCCATCTTTTTTATGGCTGAATAATATTTCTGTGTGTGTGTGTGTGTGTGTGTGTGTGTGTGTGTGTGACATTTTCTTTCTCCATTCATCCATCAGTGGACGCTTAGCTTGTTTCCATATCTTGGCTATTGTAAATAATGTTGCAGTGAACATGGGGGTGTATGTACCTTTTTGAGTTAATGTTTTCATTTTCTTTGAATGAATATCCAGAAGGAAAGTTGCTGGGTGGTATGGAAGTTCTATTTTTAATCTTTTGAGGGATCTCCATACTGTTTTACGTAGTGAACAAGAGCAGTTTTGTGAGATTTGCTTTTCTTCTCATACAGGGGAAAGAGGAACTATATCCTCACTATAACCTTGTACATGAGTGGTCATAGTAGCTTTATTTGCATTGGCCAAACCCAAATGTCCTTCACCAGGTGAATAGGTAACAACCGTCCATACAAGGAATACTGCTCTTCAATAAAACGGGAAGAACCTGTGATAATGCAGCAACATGGATAAATCCCAAAAATCTCAAGTAATTAGACCGAGTGAACAAAGGCACACAAAATGAATATGTGCTGTGGAGTGAAAGAAAGACCAGCGAGCGGCTACCTGGGAGGAGGGGTGGGGGAAGGAAGAGGGAGGAATGACAAGGAAGACCTAGAAGACTTTTGGACATGATGGACATGTTCCCTTTCTTGGTAGCAGTGATAACTTCACCAGAGTAACACACATGTCAAAACTAACAGGCTATACACTTTAAATATGGGTGGTTTATTATACATCAATTATTTGTCAGTACATTGTTAAAAAAAAAAAAGACACATGAATCACATTCTTGCATACATCCTCTCCTCCCTTGTTCTCCCCTCCTGAGGCACTAGCTTGGCAAAACCAATGTCTGCCCAGTCTGTGTCTGCATCAACGCAGTGATGTGTGATGGACAAAAAATACACACACAGGGGTGGGGGATGGGTGAGCCTGGTGGTGGGTATTACGGAGGGCACGTATTGCATGGAGCACTGGGTGTGGTGCATAAACAATGAATCTTGGAACAGTGAAAAAATAAAATTAAGACGTTAAAAAAATAAATAAAAATAAAATAAACAAACAAACAAAAAATAATAAAAATAAACACACAGTACTGACCAGTGACACATGAAGTTGCTTTTAGGAGCAAATTATATGTTAAAACAAAAAAGCAAAGAAAACATTTTGGGGGGTGGGCACCTGGGTGGCTCAGTTGATTAAGCATCCAACTCTTGATCTCAGCTCAGGTCTTGATCTCAGGGCTGTGAGTTCAAGCCCTGCGTTTTTGAAAAAAAAAACAAAAACAAAAACAAAAAAATTGGACGATGAGAAGCCAAAAAGTTAAGTAGCGGCTATTTTCTAGTGGGTTAGAGGTAATCATTCTTGTTTATATTTTGCTGTGTGAATTTTTTATAAGGAGCAATGATTATTTTTATAATCATTAAAACTAAAGAAATCTGCTTCTATTTCAAAATCTCAGACCGTCATCGCTGTGGGATGTGTTGGCTGTAAGTAAACGTGGGCCTGGAATACGACGGTGCGCCGGGCAGCTTTGGAGCACCGAGCGCTTTGCCAGGTGTGTGTTTCAACTGCCCTCACATCTTTCCGCACCGCTTTCCCTCCCACCTGTAGCTCGAAGACGAAATCACAACATTACGGCAAGTTTTATCAGCGAAAGAAAGGCATCTGGTTGAGATAAAGCAAAAACTCGGCATGAACCTGATGAATGAATTGAAGCAGAATTTCAGCAGAAGCTGGCACGACATGCAGACCTCGACTGCGTAAGTCTAGCGACAGAATTTCCAAAAAAATCACTTACTGCTGTCTCTCACTTCTTCTGCTTTTGTTTTTGTGTTTTTTCTATGACACTGATTTGGAACTTGTGGCTAGGAAAAATATTTTCTCTAGAAATAAAATAAATATGAATAATCATTAAATACACTGTCTGGTGCAGACTCTGAAAAGTAACTTCATGAAATTAAACTGTTCACCAGACGACTTTTATGGATTTGTATTTTTTTCTCTGTATTAGATACTTCTAAACATTCCTGAAATAGATATTTCTTTCTTTATGTTTTCTCATACAATTCTAAATGGACAGGTGCTTTTTCCTCAAATACTCAGCATTCACTACAGATTTTCAGTTTCTATACCAAATGGTTGGCAGGTTTAGTACAGACTTGTTGCCCACTGATTTAAAAAGAAATGCTTATACTTTGGGGGTGTGCTTTTCATCCCTTCTACTCTAGGGAGTATTTAGAGTTGCGGCAAGGCCATGTGAGATCATAGAAGTGTGTGTGTGTGTGTGTGTGTGTGTGTGTGTGTGTGTGTGTGTGTCTTTGTGTGTGTGCGCACACGCGCACGCTCTATCCCTGGTTCCTGACACAGAGTCCCGAAATCTCTTGGAATTTCCAGAGTGGTAGTAGTATTCTTTGTTCTAATGAGGTAACTCTCAGTGGCTCTGGGATGGGGGGCCGGTCACAGGAAAGACTAAGCCATGATTAGAAGCTTGGACTTGCAACACTGTGCGCTATTCTCCAGAGAGAGAAGAGGGGGCTGGAAATGGAGTTAATGATGGGTCATACCTAAAATCTCCAAAACATGGTGTCCAGAGAGCTTCTGGGTTGATGGACACAGGGCGATGCTGGGAGAGGGGCGCACCAAGAGAGAGCATGGAAGCCCCACAGCCCTCCCCATATACCTTGCCCTGTCTGTATCCTTTGTCATATCCCTTTATAATAAACCAGTCATCTAGTAAGGAAACCATTTTCCGGAGTTCTGAAACCACTCTGGCAAATTAATCAAACTTGAGGAGGTCATAGGAACCTCCGATTTATGGCCCATTGGTCAGAAGCACACAGGCGATAACCCGCACTTGCCATTGGCATCTGAAGTGGGGTGAGGGCAGCAGTGTTGTAGGATTGACCCTGTGGGAGCTGACACTGTCACCCAGTATGCAGTGCCTTAAATTTTAGGACGCCCAGCTGGTGTCCCAGATTTGCTTGGTAAAGATTGCATTCCTAATATTTTAGTGGAAATCAATTTTTCTCTCTGCAGGTACTTTTCTCCCAACTTAGATAGGCCTGGCAGTAGGAACAAGTACCAGTGATGGACAGCAAGCACTTCAGTTTTGCTGGTGGCCAGCTCTGCCTGCTGGCTGCGGAAAACTAAGCCCTAAGACCCAGTGAAGGGGCCCTTTGTATGAAGAGTTCCATCTAAATGAACTTGGCGTCTCCCCACTCTGCTTCCCCTAGGTTCCATGTTCAGAAGAATGTTCTCTTCCCCTGCCACAGCCTCTTAGTCTTATCCGCTCCTATGCTGGTGTCCCCCAAGGGCTCATCCCAACAGCATCAGAGCACAGCCCAGAGTAGGGGTTGTAGGGGAGTAGGGGCAGGATGGAGCCAGGGAGCCCATGGAGTTATCTCCGGGGGCAAATTAACCTTCCCCAACCCAATGGTGACAATTATGGAAGACCTTAAGAGACCGCATGGTGGTGTTTATCAATGTAAATTATATATGGCAACACTATTAAGTGAACTTCTCTGTCAGTAGTTTGGGCTTCCGTCTTTGCACTTTGGTGGCTTAAACCACTTAACGGCCCTGACATAGTGAGGTGGAACAAGCTCCAGCATCCTGGTCCTGGGCGCCTCCCATCACGCTGATCTGAACCTCCTTTGAGGGTGTAAGACCCAGGCAGGATCTTGCTGCTTGGCCTCCCTAAGCACACTGCAGGAGTGGGCTAACCCAACAGAGGGCAGGACGACTCCAGCGCTCCCATTGCTAAAGGGAGGGACGGAGCAGCCCATGTCTGGGCAGAGGCTATGTCAGGTTTGCCCTGGTCTGAGGGGGCTGGGTGGGGAGAGATTCACAGTCATGGGAGACACAGAATTAGAGGGAACAAGTTCAAGGAGGGTGGGTAGCCTCCTCCCACACGGGAAAATATATAGTCTCTGGTTTCCTCATGTTTGAAAAACAAGTTGGTTTTGTAGTCAGGCAGTCTAGTTAGTAGCAAGCCTTTTGTTAAATGAATAGATTTATTCCCTAGGGTTACGGAGCTGAAAGACTAGTCAGGACAACAGAGTTTGGTTTTTGTTTTTGTGTATTTTACAAGATATTCCAAATAACCAGTTAAATGGTAAGTATGAGGAGTGATGTGAAGGAAAATAGTGTTATGTGTGAAGCAGGAGACTGAACCTTGCCTGGGACCTCAGGAAAGGTTTTTCAAGGCAGGAGACGGATGCTTCAGCAGGGCTCTGACGGATGAGTGGGAACTTCATCAGGCTGGGAGGGGCAGGGGGAGCCTCCTAGGGGAGGCACAGCCTGCTGATGGCCAGAAGGAGAGAAGGCTCCCTCTCCCCGCCACTCCCTGGGAAAGCAGTCCAGTTCATTAGCGTTTCAGAGACAGCAGGGAAAAGTGGCCAGGGGTTACACAGGGCCTTGTCGTTGCTGTTAATAGAGTTACTCTTACTCCACAGGCACTAGAAAGCCATTAAAAGGTCATGACATTTTATTTGCCCACCATGTCTTAAGTGTTGTTATTACCTAGGAGCTAATCTAAGCCCTCAGGATATGGGATTCAAGAAGATGAACAAAGTTCTTAGCTTCCTAGAGTGTTGAAAAGAGCACAAAACTCATGACAAAGCCACGATGGGAGGAGCTCTCAGAGGTCCTGTGATAAGAACAGTAGAGGCTGATGGGCTAGAGGAGAGGGCAGAAGCCGCTGTGACAGAGTCCCAGGCAGGGAAGTCCTGTCCTAATGCCGTCCTGGAAGGTTACGCTGAGCTGACACCTGAATGACCAGAAGGATCTCATCTTGTGATGATGTAAGAGAGACCTTTGGGGTTGAGCAAAAGTTGCCCCGAGGCCGGAAGCCGTTTTGAAATGGAGAGAGGGGGGTAGAGGTCAGGGCCTCGGGGGGCCTCCCAGACCAAGGGGAGAACTGGAACTCTTATTCCAAGGGCTCTGGATGCCACTGTAAGATTTGAAGCAGGAAGTAATCTGTTCCGATTCACCTTTAAAAAAAAAAAAATCACTCTGGTTTCTTTGTGTTCTACAGAATGGAGAGAGGGAGGAGTGGAGACTGGAAAATCATTTCTGAGACGATTGTAGTAGTCCACTTTGGTGAGGATAGTGAGGGACAGAGAGGGGACGAGATTTGGAGGCCAGGCCAGGGAGGTTTCCCAAAGGTTTGGGGGTGGAGAGGAGGGAAATACAAGGATCAAATGTGACTGGTCTTTGATGGGGGCAGCCCGCTGAGCACTGGGACGGTTTACAGCATGGGCATTCCTTACATCATGGCTAAGCCCGTGGGCTATGGACTCCAGTTGCTTGGATTGAAGTCTAGGTCCCCAGCATCGGTGAGATGAGATCATATTAGTACCTATCTCGTAAGTAGTGAGGATTCAGTGAGTTAATTGTAAAGCAGGCAGAACGGTGTCATACTTTGTAGGCCTGTTTGCTGTTCTAGAAAACAAGTCTAGCGGGGAGACTCAAGAATTGGTTTTGGTGACACACAAGTTTCTGTGTCGAGAGGTCCACTCAGAGGAAGAGTCAGGGATGGAAATAAACGGGGAGTCGTCTGCATATTGATCTCATTGAAAGCTACAGGACTACACGAAAGTTCCTCAGAGATTGTTTAATCAGTGTGGATGATCATGGACTCCTCACTCTTTTAGGAATGATGTGAGCCTTCCTTTGTAAGGAAGAATCAATCCTTTTCTTAAGAGGGAGGCATAAGTATATCAGTAACATAATTTCAGGAGAGCTCCTTTCTCTCACCCTCTCTTCTTGGCTGCTGAGGGAGGGGGAAAGGTCCTAATGACATGGGGTGGGGGGCTTGGTTTCAGAATCTGTTTTCACCCTTGAATTAATTAAATCCCTGCTGTTAGTGCCATGATACCCGTTCTAGGACAAGATCTATACCGCATAGGATGAAAATTTTGATGGGAGGGAATGAGGAGCTGGGTAGGGTTAGGTTGGGTAGAATTAAATTTCAAAGCACTAAAAAAAATTCTAGCTGTCAGAGGATTGAAGGTGATTCCCAGAGGCAATACTTTGCATACTGATTAAGCAATCATGACCTATTTAGTTTGATTTATACTGAAAAGAAAATCTATGATATGTTAATGAAGAAGGATCTTGGCATATTTTAGCCTGTGGTAGGATTCAAGTAGGAATAGGATGGAATGAGTAGAAATAATTACACAGCATACTGAAATTATCTCCTTTATGGAAAGATAACGGTACAGTAGCAGGTCAAAAGATCACCTGTATTCAGGGTTTGTTGTTGCTATTGTTTCTGTCATAGTTCTGTCTTGCTTTGATTTGAGAGACTTTAAGAACACACACCAGAATTCCTATCACCTCCCTTTTTTGTTGTAGTCTTAAGGGTTTTTGTTATTGTTTGTTCTCTGCTGCTTTTTTGTGTTGTCTTTAGGCTTTAAAGAGTCAGGGGGGGAGGTGGGAGACTTTGAAGTGTTAGAGGTAGGGAGGCTACAGGAGGAGAAACTGAACCTCTTCTGTAGGTAGAAGGAGTAGGAATTCAGAAATCTGACATTCTCATGGGCTATTCAAACTGATAGGCTTCATTTTAATAAGTCTGCAGCCTCTGCTAACCCTTTCTCCACTAGTAAGCCCCTGTGAGCCGTACTGCAGACCAAACAGTAGGTCTGCCAAGAGAAGAAGGTTTTGGGACAATTCCATCCCTTTGGAACAATTAATAACTTCATCCTTATAAAGAGCAGGAAAATGCAGCCTTAAAAAAAGATGTGCAGTCCTTGAA